TTTCCAGCCACTTATTGCTACTTGTCCTAACTTTTTTGGGATTTGTTGACACTGTGAAATTTTGAATCAACATATTTTTCCTTTAAAATGTTACATTTACTCAGATTAAACTTTTGATCTGTCATCTATGTTATATTATGAATAAAATATTGACATTTGCCATCTCCACATCATTGCGTTCAGTTTTTATTCACAATTTGTTTAGTGTCCCAACTTTTTTGGAATCCGGTTTGCATTTCCTTTTGCTTTTTAGATGATTGTTTATTGTTTTCTGTACCTCATCTGTGTTCTTTGTTAAATCAGGTCTCTTGTAAATGAGTCCTCGAGACTCAGTGAGATTAACGTCTAGAAATAAAGGTTAAATTAATTCCCATGAAAGCAGAAAGAACATGTTTGCTGAAAGAAGCAGAAATGAGCCCAAAAAAGTGGAAATTAAATGAAAAAAGCTGAAATTAGGAAAAAAAAAAACAGCTTAAAAGTAGCTTAAAAAAAGCAGAAAGAAGCTGAAATTACAAGAAGGAAATTGAGAACACATTTTTGCTAAATTAGGCTGAAAAAAGTTTAAGAGTTCAAAGAAATGTGAAATTATCTGAAAATGCTTAAAATAGCATAAAACGGATATATACAGTAGTCCCTCGCAACTTGGTGGCTGGTTTTTTGCCGACTCACTCTATCACGGTTTTTCAAAATGATTGTACATGGCACACTATTGGTTGATTGATGGATGAGCCGCAGGATCGGCATGTAATTTTCATCCATCCATTTTCTTCCTCTTATCTGGGGTCGGGTTGCGGGGGTAGCAGCCTAAGTAGGGAGGCCCAGACTTCCCTCTCCCCAGCCACTTGGTCCAGCTCCTCCAGGGGAATCCCGAGGCGTTCCCAGGCCAGAGGAACATAGTCCCTCCAGCGTGTCCTGGGTCTTCCTCTGGGCCTCCTCCCGGTGGGACGTGCCAGGAACACCTCACCAGGGAGGCGTCCAGGAGGCATCCTAACCAGATGCCCGAGCCACCTCAACTGGCTCCTCTCGACGTGGAGAAGCAGCGGCTCTACTCTGAGTTCCTCCCGGATGATCGAGCTTCTCACCCTGTCTCTAAGGGAGAGCCCAGACACCATGCGGAGAAAAATCATTTCAGCCGCTTGTATCCGAGATCTCGTTCTTTCGGTCACAACCCAAAGCTCGTGACCAGAGATGAGGGTGGGAACGTAGATCAATCGGTAAATCGAGAGCTTCGCCTTTTGAAACAGCTCTCTCTTCACAACGACAGACCTGGACAGCGCCCGCTTTACTGCAGACGCTGCACCTATCTGCCTATCGATCTTGCGCTCCATTTTTCCCTCATTCATGAACAAGACACTGAGATATTTAAACTCCTCCACTTGGGGCAGGATCTCCTCCTCAACCCAGAGAGGGCACTCTACCCTTTTACATCTCAAGACCGTGGCCTCGGACTTGGAGGCACTGATCCTCATCCCGGCCACTTCACACTCAGCTGCGAATCACTCCAGAGAAAGCTGTAGATCACAACCTGAAGAAGCCAATAGGACCACATCATCTGCAGAAAGCAGAGACCTGATCCTCCTGCTTTCAATTCAAATCAAAAATACTTTATTAATCCCAGAGGTAAATTAAATGTTGTTGTAACTCATCATCCTGGTTTCATTAAAGAGTTGTTCTAGATGCTGATACTGTGGGTAGGAAGGATCTCTTGTCCTACAGCAGATCTGAAGAAGCCTCTGACTGAAGACACTCTGATGTTGTATGACAGTCTGATGTTGTATGACAGTCTGTTGTTGTATG